CAAGTACATGTAGCAAGATAATACCAAACATCACCAAACATGGACAATTAAACGAATCACACTCATGCTTGAAATGTTTCTACATGTAGCTATACATCTTTGGCGGTTTGGCGTAGTTGCCGAGCAAACTTCACTGAAAGATCGAGGTCAGGCCACGGTGGGGCATGTTTGGTTGCAAGTGTAAATGGCCCTTATTATATGAGATTTTTTCATTTTTTTTTAGGATCCAATTGTTGCTTTCATTTGTCAGATTTCTTCTCCGACAAAAAATTCTCATGTTGACATTTCAATATGCGCTGCCTCCATTCCTGCATGTACTCTGAGCTAGAAGAATAATATTGTTTAGCATTTTCTCTCCTTCCCTGTGATTATTCCTGGAAAGCGTAAGCCCTGGTCGAAGAAAGTTCACCATCCTCGTATTATTGCCTACAAGCCTGCCATCGAGTGACATCATCAATTTGTTTTTCTCCCTCTTCTTGTATTACAATAGAAGGTTTCACACCATCTCTAGATATATATATTAAAGTTAATCGTACTGTCACTATTAAATAGAATAATCTTTATATGGGATTACCTCATTATTTTGATGATATTGAAAGGTAAAATTACGAGGGTGTTATGAATCATGCTTTTAATCATCATTTGGTGGTGGCAAATTATTAATACGAGTAAGGTTTTACAAAAGCTTTGTGACTGACTGACTTCTTTTTGTCTTTGGTAATAACATACGGATCCAGAAGATTCTCATCTGCAGCTTCGCATCTCTGGAACTCTCTCCCCACTACCTTTCAATCTCAACTGAAAACCTACCTGTTTAAAAACGCTTTCTAATGTCATTTAAACTGTATTATTGTATTCATCAAAATTTAATTACATTACTGTACTTTTCTATAATTTGCCTTCATTTCTCTGTAATTGATGTTTATAATGATTGATTATTATTAATCTTTTCCTTATTTTGATATTTCTTTAGTTCATGAATTAGTAGTTAATATGTGTAATTTTGTTGTATTAATATTGTAAAGCGCATTGTTGTATCGAAGATGAAATGCGCTATAGAAGTCTAGGTTATTATTATTATTATAACATACATAAAACGAGCTGTAAAGGTACATGAACATTTGTCTACATCAATAACCTACTTCTTGTAATGGCCAAAATTAAACTGATTGAATCTTTGCGCAGCACAAAACATACAACCATTCAGTACAAGGGTCTGAAAATCAGACTATTACTAAAACAATTGCAATCACTAAAGTTGATTCAACAACTAATGCTCGACCGGGCAATTTTTTGTGTTAATGAGCTCTAATTGAAATGTATGATCCATTTATATCAAACCTTCCATTTCACCCTCTCCACATAGTGAGCTATTAAGGTTCTCTCACATTATCAGGATAGCTGGCTAGGCCTTGTGTGAAGCGATTATGATTTGTCTGAAATTATAAACCGCAGACTCTCGCAGCATAAACAGCCTGATTGTCATGCTCAAATCTTCTTCCTTTCTGAAACCTGAGATGTCGTGGTGCACTCGGCTTACCATTATGTTTTTCATCTACAAGAGAATCTAGGTTTTTCATGATAAATTCATTAATTCAGGGTAAGAATTCTCAAGTTTTTGCCCTGTAGTAAGATTTTTTTCTGTCATTCTTTTCTCTCTCTCACACTTTATCTCACTCTCTCCTTCTTCTCTACCTCTTCCTAGCTCTCCCTGTGTAGCACTCACAATACCTCTTTCTCTCCCCTCTCTCTCTCTCTCTCTCTCTCTCTCTCTCTCTCTCTCTCTCTTTCTCTCTTCCCTCCCCTTCCCCTTCTCCCTCTTTGTCTAAATTCTCTGCCTCTCTTTTCCTATTATATGAGATTTAAGGTTGACTATTAACGCAGTGATCAATTGTTCATTAGTAGAATTTCATTTTAGAAGGATATTAGCCCCCTAAATGGAAATCTTCACATAGAAACAAACCAAATGTAAAGCCTTAACCATTACCCCTCCCCCCCCCTCTCACCCTCTCGGGCACGCACCCACCCACCCACACACACCCACACACACCTTGCATGGAAACAAACAAAAATGGCTGTTCATACATTGAGCACTTTGGTGAAATGTAGGGCTAATTTTGGAACCTGATCAGAATCTCACTTTTTGGAATGTTTGTAGGTTTAACTTCCTCATATGCATACAAAATGAGGCTCCAGTAAAAAAAGCTAACAACCTTTTTTTATATCATTATTTCTCTGTCTGTATCCCATTCACTCCGTTGGACCGACAATAGACTAAGGGGGGAAATATCAATACTGCAAATGGCTTTTGTCAGTTAGGATTCGGGTTAGAGTCAGTTTGGTGATGTCACTGCTCTATACATGAATCATCATTGTGGAATTGAATTGTATAAAAAGCATTATGCATTATTGCAAATAAACAAACATACAATCATAGATTTAAAAGGTTGCAAATCCCCTCATCTGAATCAGGAATACTTAGCCTAGAAATCAAATTGGCAAACTCAGTCAGATGTGTAGATGGATAAACCTTTGAATGGGGACAATGCTTACCGGTAACCACTATTTATGGTGAAGTTACTGGTCCAAAACAGTTTTGATGAGTTCTTTCCAAAAGTTTTTTTCTTTTCTTTCCCCTCTCTTGTTTTTTATTAAGGCAAAGTTAGATGAATAGAGTCAAGAATGTGCATGAGATAGTTAACTCATTGTTGCTGTGAGGTCATAACTTTGAATTTAGTGAGGCATTATGCCGACTGGTGGAACAACAAGTATTGGGGTGCGTTTAGTTTAAAACATGGTTGCGTTCAAGCAATTTCAAGCGATTTTTTGTCGGTCGTAAAAATAAACGTGTTTCAAAACGCAAACATGAAATGAGATTCTGCAGAATCAATGTCGCTAAAAATCACTTGAACGCAACTGAAATCTCAATCATGATTCTATGACGTCATTATCGTGGCCTGCTTCCGTTCAAAACAGCAGCCGACAGTCGACCGTAAACAAATTTAAAAAGCGCCGAAGTTGACCTATACCTAGGTCAAACTGCGCAGTGTGATGCGCAGTGGCTGGGCTTAAAATGAGCGAGAATCAGCATTGAGGGAAAATCGCTTAAACGATCTGTAACTGTGTTTTGTAATGGCATTTTGATTTGTGATTCTAGCTTTAAAAAAATCTCTTGAACGCACCCTTGGAATTTTGCCTTCTCAATTAAATCCATTTATTTTTAAGTATGTCATGGACTATTACCCATACCCTAGGAGAAAAAAGGGTTGCATATTTAACTAATATGTGTGATCTCGGCCTGTGATGAAATCTAAATGCCTGAAACATTGTTTGCAAGGCTGAAGGAGGAACCATATTGAGCTTGAAATTAATTTCTACAGAAACCTGTCTTGAAGCCAAACACAGACATATATATGCTTAGCTTACTTTCATCGCTGAGATACTGTCTGATCTATTTCTCTTCCTCTGTCTACCATTGGTTTAAAGTTCTATCGAGGTCATATCGGTTCTGACATTCAAACTAAGGATATATACTAGGATTGCTATTACGTACAGGAAGTAGGCTGAACACTCCCCGCACCTATACCACTACCTCTACTCTTTTGTGGAGCCACCCCTACGTATAATATTTCAGGCTTTTAATGGCAGGGATTTGCCATTATGACCTGATAAGAACCCAGCTTTTAATAACCATCGCCCATTTCTGGTTGTCCTAATCAATGTGTCATTCATCAGGAAGTGCTATGCTTGAGTACCTCTTTTGATAAGAACATGAATGCTAGGATCGGTGTTGCCACTGGTAGCAGATGTGTGACTTTGCCTCGCTGGGCTTTCTCCATCTCAGCTGTAGTGGCGTGTCAGTTTTCAGGATTGTATCGATTTTGTTTTTGAGCAAACGTGAAAAGCGATCTACCCTCATATATCCTGCGTCAAGGATATTAGTACCGGGCACACACAGGTATACACGTGTGTAACGTGTCGTACCAGGGAAGTGATCGAAGAAGAAACTCGTCTAACTTCCACATCGAGCAAGTGGGTATTATATAGTGACAACTCGCGAGTCTCTCTCTCTCTCTCTCTCTCTCTCTCTCTCTCTCTCTCTCAGAGTCTGAGCAAATTTGCAGGACAGAAGGGCCCTGGCATTGGATGTGCGGTGCTCGCTTGCTCACATGTAGTGGGCAGCATTCAACAGTTTGTGTGTTTAGGCCAAGAGAGACCATGCTCATATTATCACATTAGCAACATGCGATAACACTGGGCAAACACACTCGGTGGGAGGATTCATACCTTGTTAAGACGAAACATTTCTCTTCAGGGAGGTTTGAGGAAGACTCTGGATCCATCATTCTGTCTTCTACATCTCCTCCCTCTTATCTCCCCCTTCTCTCTCTCTCTCTCTCTCTCTCTCTCCCTCTCTCGGGCTCACCTTCCCGTTTGCGACTATCTCCCATCTTGAGATTGCACGTTACCTGGAATCATACAGGCTACTGGCTTTTAAAGCGGGCTCTTTATATTTAGTGCATGATACACTTACTAATGCTCAACTGTACCGCAAGTGCTCTGAAACTCAATCTTTGTGGTCACGTCATTAGCTGTCCTTGCCAAGCGCATATATACAGCTTCTACTTCTATGATGGATTTTAAAGTCTATGTGTGCAATTGCTTCAGTGGATGAAATCAAGCTGAGAAACTTTTTTTGTGCAATTGGAAAGCTCATTCTAACCAGGATTTTTTTAAACATCAATATTAGCATTCCTCTTATTCCTTCAACTTTCAAGTTGTTGTCTCTGGTAAATTTTGTTCAACCTTTAAGTTTGGAGCCCGTCATTTTGAACTTTTAACCTTGTATTTGGTTGATTTACATTGCCTCTTATTTTGGCATATTCATTAGAACAATTGGTTAACGTTAGAGAGTGTGAAACCTCCAACTAGAAAAAGAAACTCCTACTCTCTTTCTCTCTTTCTCTCTCTCTCTCTCTCTCACTCTCTCTCTCCTACATAGTTTGTGATTTTCTGAGTTACTGTGTGGGCTGATGTTTACGGTCTCTCTCTCTCTTCCAAATAGTTTGTGATTTGTGTGGGCTGATGTTTAGGGTGCATTAACATCGCAACAGTTGTCTGCTACCTTTGACATATGTCTCATATTGCTTATTTTTCATAACTTAAAAGTCAAATTGGATTGGAGGGAGTGGTTATAGCAAAAGTCTCCCTCACTCTCTCTGGAGAGCTCAGCCAGGGGCATCAAAGCTTTGCAGGTTCTATTTACTACTTCTTCTTTAACCTTGTATCAAGCTAGCAGCCAGAAATGTGCAGCTCTTTTATTCCTTCCTTGGAACAATTTCTTCTTCCAATTTCTATTTATTCAACAAAGGGAAAGTATTAGGATCCAATTGAACCAGAACATTGAAGGACAGCATCACAAAAACAATTCTGAAGGACTTTAAAACCAGACTGAATTCGACGAAAAAGGAAGGATTTATGTGAAATCAACGGAAGAGCTTTCCAAATTCACTTCCTAGACAAACAATAGCTTGAATATTATTAGACACCTTTCTGTGGCTTTGCTTGGTCGTTAGTCAGGGCAAACGCAGGCTACCTGCAGTATATACAAACAGTGCTGTTCATTCCGATGCATGCCAGCCAGCTAGCCAGCCAGCCAGCCAGCTAGCCACTCAACGATCTGGTGTGTTTGAGTGTGTCGCTGCTACACACATCTCTGTCACTGCTAGCCTGACCACCTCAGTAGAAACATCTCAGCGAAGGAGAAGAGAGGAGAAGATCAAGAAAAACCTGGGAAAAAAAGTGATGAAGGCTCCCACATTTGTTGATCAAGTACATAACAGCTGCTTACTGGAGAGCTACAAGTTATTTGTAATTTTGAATGGAATAGTGCATCAGAGCAGAGCAGTTGATCATCTTGTTGTTTAGTGAATAAATAGCAGGAAATATTACCTTCAATACAGGCTCTTACCTTAAAACAAATTTGAAAAGATAAGAGAGCAGGATAGAGCTGGAAAGGGGATCCTTTTACAGTGTATGTAAGCACTTCAACTTGCGTTTATTTTAATAGCGGTGGATGTTTTTTTTCCATTCTCATTTGCGAAGCACCATCTGCAGTTCAGAGGGAATAATTCTGCAATCTTGTAAATTACAACGCTGCTGCCCAGGAAGGATGGCAATCTAACGACTCGCAATAAGTGGATTCCCTAATATCGCAGGTGCATCCCCTCTCTCCGTCTCTCTCCCCTTCCCCACCCCCGCTATCGTCCCCCGTAGACTGACCAACAAAATCTTCTCATTTTGCTTGTTGTGCGTGGTTAGAGACAGTTAACAGCGCTCATGAATCGCACATGCCTGCCATACATCAACAAGCCAACCAACTTAGGCCGCACTTCAAATCTCTCTGCTTGTGTTTGGAGAATCCTCAAAAATGGCGATGTGAGGTAGCACGCCAATTTCTGTGAAAAAACAACCACTATTCCGTCTTCCATTCTGTGGTGTGAATATATTTTCCCCTCTGTACTTCACTTTTTGCATAGCCTTTATTTTTTTTAAACTCCTTTATTTTTGTTTAGATGAGGGTTCATCACTGGATTGCCAAAAGACGAGCAGATGTTTTATATATTCTCAGTGGAATTTTGTTTTAAGAAGAAAAAAAATTCAGAATTTCATGCTCTCAATCTCACCAACAAGCTACACTGCCAGCACATTTCTTTATCATTACTCATTCGAACACACTCTCCGTCATAATTTGACATTTATCGTGAGCATTCCATCTTGCTGTGAAAAACCCTACTGCCAAGATGCCTGCTTGTAAGGGAACATGGCCTTTCTCTCAGTCCTATGCCTCCCTCGGCCAAACGGACCAAAAGAGACAGAACTCCAAGAAAGAGCGACCGAGCTGGAAGTACCGTCTCTTTCGCAACTCCAAACGAGGCCGGCAGAAAAAGGAAAAGGATAATAGGATTTCGAAACCCCTTTTTGTGCCTTGTACCTCGGCCCTTGTGATGGCGCTGCAGGGCCAAGCTCAGGATGTAGTGGATATCGTCATGGTAGGTCAGTATAAGTCGCAATTTTATACACTTCTTTTCAAAATATTCCTAACTTGTTTTCGGTGAAGAACAGTTACGAGGAAGGGCTACTGAAAATACCAAAGGATATTTTATGGCTTTGGTATATTACCATCCGCTAAACAGGAAGTGCAGGCGTGTAAAGTTGTATTTGGTTTATAGGGTTTGTGTTATGTCCTAATGTTATGCCTGCAAAATGAACAGAGCAATATAATAACGTTCTCGTTGCAAATGATAAGAGTAGGTATCATATAATGGGGAAATATCCCAATTGACTGTCATATTAGGGACTCGCTTTATATAATAACCCTTTTAATGATTCATTCTCTAATCGTGATTAGCTGTTAATTGTGTGATGTCATATTGAGAGAAATGGCGATCATAGCTTCATTGGGTGGTGCATACAATTCCATTCCGTGATAACATGTTACTGCATGAAAATTGCAGGGCTGTTAATTGTCAGGTATACTTATATGTATACATACAGCCATGATAAGCCTGTTTGCCAAATTAAAGTACATATTTACCCAAGCATTTTTCTTGGATATGTTTATGTTTGTTTTTTCCATTGTCAGCTATTCCTTGGGGGGAGGGGGGGGGGGGTAATTCTTGTATCCCCAACTCCTTAAAAAAAGAAGTGTAGTACTGAAAGACTGACAAAAATATTTCCTCCCCATTTTCACTTGAAAATGCTAAACGAGGAAGTGCCCCCTACTGCCTCCCCCTCTTGCATCGCTAATGATGTTTGATGTCAACATGAGCAAAGAATTAATCACACATAAAGAATATTGCCTCCATTGAAACTAAAACTCTGCCTGTATTTATAGCCAGAGGATCAAAATAATGTGTACCTTCTTGTATTTTTAATGAGCCATTATATCCTCGCTTTCAATATGATGTGTTTTCATGTCATGTGAGCTTGCTCTAGCTTCTGTCAAAATTTCAGTGTAAATCATTGATATAAAACTCAGCCTCATTTATCACAGATTGCAAGTCACATGGCTATTTTTCTTTCCCTATTTTTTTCATTGAAAAAATGAACTATCTACATAAACATCATTCTCTAATTATGACTCATTAAGTTCTAAATTCCTTTAAGCAAATATTTGGTTCCATTAATCTATAGGTACATGCCTATCCTCCTTATCTGGAAAATGTTCATGTAATTTCTCATTGGAGTGGTTCAATTACGTATTGAGACTGTAGGCCTACGTGCAATTTTGGTGTGTATACAGAGCTTCAGGATAAATTCCCACAAATGAGCCCCAAAACCAATTGCAGAATTTTCTCAAACATGTATTTTATGCCGGTTTTGGACTGATTTTGTAGCTGGTTTTGCAAACCCGTTTATGTGTTTACATATGTTCACATAACCATTAATGAGTGAGGGGGAGGGGCAAACAAAACCTATCGACTTTAGAAAAAAACCTTTTTGCAAGGTACTAGTGGCAGTTTTTTGTTAAATATTCCAAACTTCTGTATGGATGTAAATGATACTGTTGAAAGATTAGAAACTCAGTATCTGAAAAAGTCACTTCAAATTGTATGAATGATTGGATGAGTGTGAAAAAGCTGAAAGACTAAAAGTAAAGAGAACATTGTTTTAGAAATCTCATTCCTGATCCATCATGTAAATCCCCTTTGTCCCGAGTGTATATCGTTATCCCTTTCAATTACCCTATGAATTATTTACTACATAGGCTCAAGCGAAACCAACCTGATTGCTAAAAGCATGCCATCATACCATGAAAATCGTCGCTGAATTCCATTGATATTCAGAAAATTGGTAGTTTGGTGAAGCAGGGGGAAATACCCATTTAGCATATTTCATCATAATCACTCCGATAGTTTATGAATGATTTGGAACGAGGACAGGTTAATGTATATAGCGAGTGATCAGTCTGAATCAGTGGCCAGATTATCTCAGATTTAGTGGCTTTCCATGCATTAAATACTGTGGTCTGACTCAGAGAATGCTGGAAAGTGGGTAGAATGAAGTCAATTGCATGTCATTGACATTCAAGTTAGGCAATTTAGTGTATTATCCTACCAGCAAAAATAGGCTATGTCCGGATATGTTGTGGATATATAGTGCTATATTGTTTGTATGTGTGTGGTTATACTACTGCTGCTGCTGCTACTACTACTACTATTACTTCTACTGCTACTACTACTGCTACTTCTACTACTACTACTACTACTGCTACTACTACTACTCCTACTACTGCTGCTATTACTCCTACTACTGCTGCTACTGCTACTTCTACTACTTTTACTACTTTTACTACTTTTAATCTACTACTAGTAGTAGCAGTAGTAGTAGTAGTAGTACTACTACTACTACTACTACTACTACTACTACTACTACTGCTGCTACTGCTACTGCTGCTACTACTACTACTACTAGTAGTAGTAGTAGTAGTAGTACTAGTACTACTACTGCTGCTACTGCTACTGCTACTACTTCTACTACTTCTACTACTTCTACTACTTCTACAACTTCTACAACTACTATTACAACTACTTCTACTACTGTACCTCTATAGGCTTCCCACATTAAGAATACTGAGTATACATGTATTTGACAGATATCTGGAGTAGCATGCATAATTGCATATTACTGGGTTCCTGGTTTCCTTTCATAACGAGTAGCGGTCAAAGAGGAGTGACTGCATGGTGTCAGAGATGTAGCCGGAAGTGACCTAATTCTGAAAGGAAGTCATAACCAAAATGTGGGTTAATGTAGCAAACATTTCAGTTTTGATAGAAAATTAACCTATATGTTGGGGTGACATCACAAAGTATCTATGAAAAAAAAAACAAGCTGTATTTAAACTTATTTTGTCCTTTATTAAATTATGTCATCTTGTCGGAATAGATATGACGTATCGTAGCTTCTGTCAATCTATTTCAAGCAAAACTTCATTATTCAAAGTAATAATCGAGTCATCGCTTTCATATCCGTATTGAACAGATTTTAAAGTCTCTCTTGCTCCCTGCTTGTTCTTTCTAATCCTTTTCCAAATTGCTTATTCTATCATTCTTCACCTTCCCCTTACCTTCCTAAACTTGATCATTCAACGTAAAAGATAAGTTTTTAGTCTTTTCTTTTGCCTTCTCCCCTTATATTTTTTGTCTATCTCTCATCTTATTTCTTTCTTTTGTCTTTCCTCATTGCTAAATCCTCTCTTTATCATATTTCTCCTACTCTACCTTTAAACAACACTGTATCATTCAATGTATGACTCAAGGGGAAACTCTAAGTCATCTTTGTTTGCCATTCTCTTGTCTACTTTTCTTTTTTTCTTATGCAATTTTCTCTTTATCAATCTCTTCTCTTTTGCCCACACTCCCTCCATCCAATCTCTCCCTTGTCTACATCATTATTGAATCTCTCTCTCTCTCTCTCTCTCTCTCTCTCTCTCTCTCTCTCAGCCTTGTCCTTTCAAGACCAATGCTGGCACCTTAATGTTGTTGAAGCGTGTCACATCTAATCCCCCGAAGCCGTATGTCCCGCTTCTGCATTTTCCTTCACTGGAATTCGCAGTTTACACGGGACCCCTGACCTTCTTGGTCTTGACACCGATCAATTTAAGCATCACTCCCGGGTAAACAATGCCCATGGATGCCGGGGAATATATCGTGCCAAACAACCTTGATTCAACAGCACAAATGGAAGTAGAACATTGTTAATAGACGTAGTGGAAACTAAACAAATTTAATAAAGGATGTTATGTCTTTGTTCATTAAAGCTATTTCATTTCTTTTGTTGAAATAAAAGCTTACAAATGATACCTTGACAATCAAATAAAGTGGAGGGATAACAAAAGTATTAATATTTATTCCCTGAAACAATAGCAAAGCAAATTGGATGTACAAAGTAAATAATTGAAATTAAGTTAAAAATGATATGACTCTTACTCACAATAAGCATCATCTGCATCATATATTTTTGCTTAATCACTCACATAAACCCGTATTCTTCATCAAATGTGTTTATAATAAGGAGCATTGGCATTAACTGAACAAGAACAGATTTGTCAGATCTAAATGTACCAAGACAAGCATACAAGATGCAGCCAGACTCGTACCATTTGGATAATGGTGATATCACTGGTAAATCATTTTGAAAACTTAAACAGCATGCATTGATGTGAAAATTGTGTGCAAATCATGTAAAGAACGATACCGGGGTCACTCTGAACCGAGCTGTAATGTTTTGCTGCATTTTAAATGTCATATTATGTATATTTAATCTCTTATCGCACCTGCTGAATGCATCCTGGTTGTGTTATGGGAATAAACAGTTTTTTTATTTTTAATGACTGCGTAGGCAGCTTAATTGCAATTGTAGTTGTACTTTAGTTCCTTTCTTTCCTGTTTCTTATTTTTCTGGTCTTTTTTCCTGAAGACGCTATTATCAGGGAACTGTCTTGTTTAGTCTTATATTCAATCATGATATTATTGTCTGTTCAGAGTTAGGAGGGTGTTAACATAGGGTTAATGTTGTTTTTGCTCCAAACAGACAATACTTTTTTTGTCATTTCCTATCGCAGAACAAGCTGCATGCTCCCGGAAGTTCAAATGTTCTGTTTCATCTAGTTTTATTTTTGGATTTATGTGGTTTAATTGGGGAAGATCATATCTTGTACTCAAAGCCTGAAGGAAATGAAGTTGTATTATTTAATGTACCATCAAAATAATTATGCCCTTGTGGCTTTCAACAGATGATATGGAATAAAGAACAACCATGTACCTTTTTTACATTATATTTCATTTTAATGATGAAAAATTCTTACACTACATTATTGTTCTTGAATTCTATTTGTAAGTAAGGAGAATGTAGTTCTACCCTTTAAAGATACTATGTCCCTTTTGCAGCCAACATCAAATTCTGTAGAACTTTGCAGGAATTATGAATATGTTATGTATGTCCTATCTGTGAAATTTAAACTTGAGCAGTGTCCTAATATTCAAATTATGCAA